TTTCGTGCACGTCTACTTTAACAAATCTCGGAAAACCCTTGGACATAACAAATAATTGGGCTTTGCCCGCATTGGTCCGAATCCTTCGAATGCTAATTGTTATGTCCTAGGATTGTCGTGATTTGCCAATGTCGACGTGTACAATTATCCGAAAAATTAAGAATAAAAATTCTCACACCGACACTAGCATTATTACCCATGTTCTGTTGCTGATGTTGAGGATTAGTATAATCTACAAAAAATTTAGACATCAGAAACTGGGTGAAAGCAGAAAATATTTTTTAAAAAAAGGCTAACTACGTACAAGGTATACGCTGCAAAAGGTCTTGAGAAAACTGTTGCTGTTTTTCGAATGCTGTTTTCCAATGGTCATTATCGTTTTCAAATCGACGGTTATCCTGAGCAGTATTTGACTATAAAATATTTTATAATCGTTCAAAAGTAGAAAAGAATGCGAATATAGTTAAATGAATAAAAATAGAGTATTAGTGTAGTTTACGTCCCATAAGCCCCGCCCACATTTGTTTCCTTATAAAGTGACAGTTGGGTCAATATTTTCATTTATTTAGCCCTTCTTTCTCCCAACAAAGGAAAATCTGACTAAAAATGAAGAGAAAGGGGCGGGGCTTATGGGGTGTAAACTACACAAGTACCAAAAATATAATAAATTATTTGTTAATTTAAAATTTACATTAGCATAGCCATTTACTCCAACTTGTGTATTTTGTGAAACATATACTGAGACTGTAGGCTAGAAAAATTTTTAATTGTTTAAAATTTTTCGGAAAGAAAAATTCACATTAGCTTGTGGCATTGAATTTTCATAAAAATTACCACCAGAATTAGGTGCTCTCTGCTAGTGATGTTCGGGTATCCCGACTCCCGACACCCGACTCGGGAAATTTCCCGAGTTTTTGGCCTCCCGATCCCGACCCCGACTCCCGATGCCAATTCCCGACTAAGTCGGGAAATTTTTACACCCCTAAGAATGGCTTTTTCTCATAAAACTTTATTTTTGAAAGGAAAAAATAAAGAAAAAAAATAAAAAAAGAGAAAGGAAAATAAAATATTTAAATTTTTTCCAATTTAACTATTGTTGAGACGTGGTTGAGTGGTTAAGTTGAGTGACTTCAGTTGCTTTGTTGGGGCTGGGTTCAAATCCAGGGCTGGTAAATGTTTTTAAATAATTTTTCCACCCAAAAATAAATGGTTTTAACATTGATTTTGATTTTAAAATTTTAATTTTTTTCAATACTATGTATAAACGTCAAAAAATTCCAGAAATATTGAGTTAGTCATGGATTTTCAAAAATTTTCGGCTGCGGCGCAGAAAATGAAAAATATCTGACTTCTTAGCAGTGATGGGCAAAGTTCCAGTTCCAGTTTCGGAACTAATTAGTTTTAGTTCCAGTTCCAGAACTGGAACTACGGAACTAACGATTATCTGGAACTAGTTTGGAACTAGAACTACGGAACTAGTAAATGTCTGGAACTAGCTTTGGAACTAGTTCCGGAACTAGTTCTCGGGGGTATATTTTTGACAAGATTCCCTCGATGAAGTTTCTTAAATTCTCAAAATTCTCGCCTGCGGCGCAGAAAAAGTGGATTTTTTGGCCTACGACCTTAAAAATTCTCAAAAATAAAGAACGAGTCTGGTTCTTAGCCTTCGACTTAAGAAAATTTTTGCCTTCGGCGCGGACAAAGGATTTTAGATTGTCGAGAGTGATCATAACATCAATGGCGTATCCAGGAGGTTAGATGTCTGGCTTCCTGACCTTCCAAAATTCTCAAAATTTTAGCCTGCATAGCAAAAAATTGGTATTTTTGGCGCCGAAGGCGCCAAAAATTTTTTTGTTGTAAATTCCCGACTCCCGATCCCGACTCCCGAGGTCATTTCCCGACCCGACTCCCGTTTCCCGATTCCCGAGTTTTTTCTTCTCCCGAACATCACTACTCTCTGCCCCTATAAAATAATAAATATACTACGACATATAATAATTTAAAGTAGGGTAGATCTCAGTCCCATATCCTAATTTTTTCTGGCAAAAATCCGACCCGAATCCCGAAGGCTCTACCCCGGCAAACCCCGATCCCAACCCTGAAGAGCTACACTAATCCAAAGAATATGAGAAGTTTAAAAATCCGTTTTTCTTCTCATATTAGTGATTGGATGGTAAAGACAGTTTCAGATAAATAGAAAGGGCGCAAGAAGCCAGACTATTCATCGGTGGTCTCATGATATTGAAAATAGAAATTTTTACTTGAGCAAAACCACCACCACCCCCACCATAATTATTATAATTATTATTATTATTCATATTCGGTCGTTGCTGATTATTTGAAAATGAACTACCACTACTACCCCCACCAGAATAATAATTATTATTCATATTCGGCATTTGTTGATTATCTGAAAACAAAAAAATAAAAATTTTCAAAAATAAATTCTCTCATAGAAAAATTATTAAAAATTCGTTTAATTATTCATTAAAATACAAACTAGGCAAAGACTTTAAGAGGCAATCAGTAAGATACTTATTTTGTTGAGTTAAATACTTATTATCATCTTTTAAAGCATTTTTATCTTGTTCAAGTTGGGTAATTCTTCCGCGCAAAGTTCGAATTTGTCTATTTTTTTCTTTAATCTGATCATTCTTTTCATTAATAATGTCGTCTTTTTTCTTATGCTGAGTACCTGATACCGTTTTGCTCTTCTGATATTTTATATAATCTAAGCGGTTTTGTGGTAAATGCTCACAAAAATATGCTTTATCATTTGGGTTTGTTAAATTTGTTCCGAAAAATTTTTCCGAAAAAGTGGGATTTGGTATATCCGGTAGATCCGGATTATCTCGGCCAATTTTCATTTTCATGAAAAATGCAGAAACATGTCAACTGAGATACGAATAGAGCTTTCGATTGGTATATAGAACGTATTTTTTGAATGAAAAATTAAAAATTAAGAAAAAATTTTCTAGCGCTTCCATACTTTTTTCCACGACTGTATAATATTAAATTTATATTCCGGAAACTTTTTATTCCCATATGATTAATAGTTCGTTTCCGGAAAGTATAATTTTCCGGAAAGTTTACTTAATTTTTATATTATTATATTCCGGAAAGTTTATTTACTATTCTTTGGTGAGGAAGGATAGACATATTTCTGTGATTTTTATATTCTGAAGAAAATGTTTCCGGAAAGTATGTAAATTTGATGTTCCGGAAAACTAATTATTTACAATTATTATTACCTAAAATTTATAAAATCCCAAACAATTTAGCGTAGTTTGTTAACCTCCCATGTTCTCGCCAACAAACGCGTCAAGTTGTATAATGTTTTTGGTGAGGAAGGAGATGATATAAAATACAATTTTGATCAAGTTTTGCCTGGCGATTCGTTGGAATTAAGTATAAAAAAGGAAATAGGAGGAGTTAAAGGACTCGATTTGGATTTAAAAAAGGTTTCTAAAATGCATAATAGTAAATTATATAAAATATCAGAAGAGCAAAACGGTATCAGGGACTCAGCATAAGAAAAAAGACGACATTATTAATGAAAAGAATGATCAGATTAAAGAAAAAAATAGACAAATTCGAACTTTACGCGGAAGAATTACCCAACTTGAACAAGATAAAAATGCTTTAAAAGATGATAATAAGTATTTAACTCAACAAAATAAGTATCTTACTGATTGCCTCTTAAAGTCTTTGCCTAGTTTGTATTTTAATGAATAACTAAACAAATTTTTAAATATTTTTTCCATAAGATTTTATTTTTGAAATTTTTTTATATTTTCTAATTTTTTAATTTTTTTGTTTTCAGATAATCAACAAATACCGAATAATAATTATTATGGTGGTGGTGGTAGAAATTCGTTTTCAGATAATCAACGACGACAGAATATGGATAATAATAATAATAATTATAGTGGGGGTAGTAGTGGTAGTTCGTTTTTAAATAATCAGCAACAAAGGCCGAATATGAATAATAATAATAATTATAATAATAATTATGGTGGGAGTGGTGGTGGTTTTGCTCAAGTAAAAATTTTTATTTTCAATATCATAAGACCACTGATGAATAGTATGGCTTCTTGCGCCCTTTCTATTTATCTGAAACTGTCTTTACCATCCAATCATTAATATTAGAAGAAAAACGGACTTTTAAACTTTTCATATTCCTTAGATTAGTGTTCCTTATATTCCTTAGCTTCTTCAGGGTTGGGATCTGGTTTTTGCCGGGGTAGAGCCTTCGGGATTCGGGTCGGATTTTTGCCAGAAAAAATTAGGATGTGGGACTGAGATCTACCCTACTTTAGATTAGCGTGTGTAGTATATTTATTATTTTAGGGGCAGAGAGCACCTAATTCTGGTGGTAATTTTTATGGAAATTCAATGCCACAAGCTAATGTGAATTTTTCTTTCCGAAAAATTTTAAACAATTAAAAATTTTTCTAGCCTACAGTCTCGGTTTATGTTTCACAAAATACACAAGTTGGAGTACCTGCCTATGGCAATGTAAATTTTAAATTAACAAATAAATTAGAATATTTTTGCTACTTGTGTAGTTTACACCCCATAAGCCCCGCCCCTTTTTCTTTTCATTTTTTAGTCAGATTTTTATCTAATAAGCGGAAGAAGAGCTAAATAAATAAAAATATTGACCCAAATGCCACATTATAAGAAAACAAAAGGGGGCGGGGCTTATGGGGGGTAAACTACACAAGTACATTATTTTATCAATTTAATTATATATTCCCATTCTTTTTTATTTTAAAACAAGCGAGGATTATAAAATATATTATAGTCAAATACTGCTCAGGATAACCGTCGATATGGAAACGATAATGACCATTGGAAAACAGCATTCGAAAAACAGCAACAATTTTCTCAAGACCTTTTGCAGCGTATACCCTGTACGTAGTTAACCTTTTAGCTCTGATTTTACATTTAATTTTCCTTTTAAAGATTATACTAATCCTCAACATTCACAACAGAACATGGGTAATAATGCTAGTGTCGGTGTAAGAATTTTTATTTTTAATATTTCGGGTAATTGTGCATGTCGACATTGGTAAATCACGACAACCCTAGGGGCAGGGGCAATGTGGGCGACTGATTTAAAGCTGGAAATGAGGAAGGAGATCTGGGACTAGCCGGGCTAGTATGAGAATACTGGCCTTTATACATATATAGTGATATCAATACACAACAAACATTTTCTTGGAGTTCACACTTAAAATACCCCTTGATTTATGAAATTATACGTTAACGTATATTTTTATTTTTTAGGGACAGAGAGCTAATGTTGGCAATAATTCATATGAACATGTAGCACATGAAATTGTTAAAATTTTGTTTATTTATCTATTTGATTTTTTCTAGAATGGTTATGATTCTGTTCCACAACGTACAAATGTTGGAGGTGCTGGCCTTGGAAATGTAAATTAAAAATTTTTTTAAGTTTGCAGACTTCTTTATGTATATTTTTAAATCTCTATGTATATTTTTTTCAAAATAATTTTTAATTCTCTAGCCCGCTAACACAGCTGTTGATCCTCTATATACAAACAACGCTCAACAACCTGGCTGTAGTTATGGAAACGTAAAATTTTTAACCTGTGATTACACTAATAATTTTTTTAGCCGGCGAATGGCTATGAGTTCAACAAACAAGCTGGTTTTGGTTATGACAATGTAAAATTTTACATTCTGGTCAATTATTAGGATGTATTTATTTAAAATACATCCTAATATAACCCTAATATGAATGGGTAAACCAAGGTCCAGGGTTCACCTTTTTTCTTCTCCAAGTTTTTTCATTTATATGTACAGAATGGTCAGACTTTTTTCCTCACCATCACGAAGGGAAAAGTCACCAGCTCCGTCAATCAGAACCCATGCTTTTCTTATTAGGTAAATCTGGCACAAGGAAATAGTGTGAAAGTAGAGGAAGGAAAGTCTGACCATTCTGTACATATAAACGAACTAATTTTTCTCGGAATAAAAATCCTCCCGTTCGTAACCTTATCAATATCTTGTCTAAATTAAAATATCAATATAAATCCTAAACAGCAATTCACTTAACAGTTGCCACATAACCAGAATACGCAACAACCCACATTTGTTACTGAATATGATCAATATAATCCACGTAAATCATTTAATTTAAATTTTTTTTAAATTTTTAAATTTTTTTTCAGCCTATTGATGTTTCATGAAAGAAGGGCTTTTGTTTGTAACAGGAGATTGATTCTTATATACTAGATAATGTACCTCATTTGAAGTACCTCATTTTAAATTATTCTTTCAATTAATTTTTATTCTCATTTGACTATAAAGTTTTGTATTGTGTGGAGAGACTGAACTGTGAGGTGGTACAAGAATCGAAACCTCATAGAAATCTCATTTTATACTAGAGTTGTTTGAGGTCCACGTCCAGTTTAGAATCTCCTTCTCGGTTTGACCGTCCTCGGGTCTCGGAACCTCGGCTCGGTCCTCGTCATGAGCCTCACCGAGGGCCTAGGCTATACACCCCTAATAATTCCCTTTTTTGTAAAAATGGGAGAAATTTGACTGCTCGATCTTCAAAAATTTCCAAAATAAAAAATTTCCAACTGGGAGGGTCGTGCAACAATTGAAATCTCAAAAAATCTCATCTCAATACTCTCGATAAACGAGATCTTTGATCGATATCTCGTCTCGGTCCGGTCTCTAATTATTACACTCAACTATAATTATAAGTATATTTTGTGATGTACTGCCACTAATAATTAAAATTCACATCAATAAATACTTAAACTTACGTATTGGATTTTATTAAAAAAATTTTTAAAAATTTTGTTTTATATTTTTAAAAATAATTTACTTTAAAATTTAAATTAAAAAAAATTTTTTTTGCTTTCTATGAGTTCATGTTTTGATTTAACAACAAATTTATCTCAACTTTCATATGGCGTATTTTCACAGCTTTCCCGACAACTCGATTCTCAAGAATTATGGCTTGATTTATTTAGTGATCAAGAGAAAAGTAGTGCTTACAGCCTTAGGTTTAAAAAAAAATAATTAAAAATAGGCAGGGGAATATTTGCGGACACTGAATAAATTTTCAGAGGTTTTTAATGGGGCAATATGCTTATGAAATATTTTTAAAAATATTGAGGAAACATAGGTGGGTCGGGTTGGGAGATCGAGATTTATGAAAAGCATGGCCTGTTCATGTGGTCTGGATTTGATTTATTGATCTGGGCTGGATCCTTGGCCTGTAGTTCAAGAAAAACCTAGGAAGGTCAAAAAATGTTTAAACCTAGTTCTGGGTACAGGAAAAACCTAGGCCTTGGTCCAGACCCAGCTCGATCTCTAGTCACTAGGTCATCAAAAAAATTTTTCTTTGGGAAAATCAAAAACGTAGTCGTTTTTCCTCTAATTTAGATAAATCGGTCTTAATTTTGTCAGCAACTATTTGTCTTTAAAAGCTTCAAAAATCCAAAAAATTATTTTTAAAACAAGAAATTTTAATTCTAAAAAATTAAAATAAATTTTAAAAATCCAAAAATAAATTTTTTAAGCGTTGCTGAAAAGGATAAATGCTTGCGTCTGTCAGAACCAGGCGCTTATCTCCTCAGATTGCTGGGTAATCGAGGACAGAATGTTAAAAGTATTTTTAATATTGATAAATTTTAACCTAAAGAAAATTTTTCTAAAAAGGTTTCCTAGCAAAATTGCACTCATCTGCCAAAATTTATGGTCCAAAAATGGATATACCTCAGTTGATTTTGCATAGAAAATTTTGTAAATTAATTAGAATTTTAAAATTATTAAAGTGTTGGGAAAATATTTTTAAAAATTACTTTAATTTTCAAAAAATTTTTAGAAAATTTTTTGACGAATTTTTGGGCGGAAGGGACCATGGCCAGAAATTTTTTTAACAAATTTTTTTGAAAATATTTTTCGACGTAGGATACCAGAATTAATTTCTATTGGGTTAATTCTTAAGATTTTTTTTCGAAATTTTCTCAAAATAATTTTAAAATTTATCAAGTAAAAATAGCTTAGGTATTTATCGATTTTTTAAAAAATTATTTTAATATTTCTAAACCAATTATTGTTAATTTTTTTAAAATCAAAATTAAAAGAAATTTCGTGAGGTAAAAACTGAAAATTATTTTTACAAAAAAATTTTTGGAGAAACCCCAAAAAATTAACAAAAATTCACAAAAAATTAAAAAAAAAATTCCCAAAAAAATTTTTGGGCGGATGCCTTTGTAAGGATTTAATAATTTTTAATTCCCAAAAATTCTCAAAAAAACGAATTTTTGGCCGGGGGACTTTATAAGGATTTGATAATTTAATTAACCAATATTTTAACTTTTTAATTAGAAAATAAAAATTAAATTTCAAAAAAATTTTATTTTAAAGTTTTTAATTAAAAAAAGGTCCAGTTATTTGGTCCCGTCCAGAACAAATAATTGTTTATATTGATAAATCTGAAGATAATTTATTAGAAAAAAATGCTTCAATAGATAAGGATAATTCTTCAATTATTAACCAACATTTACGATTACAATGCAAAGCTAGTGGATTTCCTACACCTTTGTACCAGTGGCTAGATGATGATAGAAAATTGGAGGGGGCTAATCAATCCTCTTTAATTATTTTAAGGTTTCTTAATTTAAAAATAAAAAATTCCAATAAAGATTCCTCTTTTTTTAATTTTAAATCAAAATCCAAAATTAAAAAAATATTTATCAATCAGTAAAAGTGAAAAAATTTTCTTTAAAAAATTTTGGGCCAAACCCCAAAAAATTCACAACAAAACGATCTTTGGGCGGGTGGCCAAAAATTTTATTTTTAATAATTTCCCCAAACTAGAGGAAATTTGAACATTATCTGGCCATCCTGATCCTTGGCGCAGAATTCAGGCTTCTTAACCTTCAAAAATTCACCTGACAATTTCTTCAATTCAATTTTAGGTTCAGATATTCTGAAATTTCTCAGGATATCTGGCTTTTTATTGGAATTATTTTTAACTTTAAAAATTCGAAAATTTCTTCCATTTTTCAAATTTATTTTAAAAATAAATAACCATTAAAAATATTATTTTAAATTAGATGCCCATGTACAGCCAGAAATGTCTTTCGATGTAAAATTTGGAATCAAGTAGAGGAGGGCAAAGAATGGTCAGAATTTTATAGAGCTACAGGAAAAACATTTTATTCTGAATTAATTTCTGATATTGTTGATCTCTCCTCTTTTGCTGTTCCGTTTGCTGGTTTTTTTGGAAAAATTTAAAAAATTTTACCAGACAAAAATTTTTTCAGACTGTGAAAATTGTTACAAACAAAAAATGGAAGAATTAGCCAAACGCTTAGGGGATGAACACAAACTTGGAAATTCTAATGATAATTTAAATCTACATGAAGATGACCCTATGACAAGTAGAAAAATAAATATATTTTAATTAAAAAATCAGAATTTAATTTGAATAATAGAATATAAGAATAAGTAAATAAAATATAAAAATCAGAATTATTTCAGAATTATTTAAATAATAATTCTGAAATAAATCAAATCAGAATATTTAATTTATAAAAATACAAGTAAAACACAGAAAATCAGAATTATTCTAAAAGATTTTTAAAATCAGAATTTTTATCAAAAGAAAATCAGAATATTTGAAAGTCAGAATTATTTAAATAAATCAAATCAGAATAAAAACGCATATTATTTTAAAATTATCAGAATAATTAAAACCAGAATATTTAATTAAACCAAAATAATTAAAACCAGAATAATTAAAACCAGAATACTTAAAACCAGAATATTTATAACCAGAATATTTAAAAACCAGAATATTTAATAAAACCAGAATATTTATAACCAGAATATTTAAAAACCAGAATATTTAATAAAACCAGAATATTTAAAAACCAGAATATTTAATAAAACCAGAATAATTAAAACCAGAATATTTAATAAAACCAGAATTATTTTTATAAAAACACATTATTTAAAAACAAAAAAATACATTTATTTAATTTTAGCAATAGCCCCAGAAGAGTTAATAGCATCAGACAAAGTAGCCCTAATAATTTCAAATCGTTCATATTCCCCAAATATGACTAATTTAATTACTCCACATTGTGATGCTGAAACATTAGCAGACGCTCTTCAACAACTTAATTTTAAGACTGTTACTTTGGGGGATTTAAATCTTTCTGAAATGAAACAAATGATTAATGCTTACAAAAAGTTGTTGGGGGAGGGAGTTTATGGTTAATTAATTTAAAAAAATCAGAATTATTAATATCAGAATTATTTTTCTAAATCAGAATTATTAAATTAAATGGAAATACAAGAATCAGAATTAATAGGGAAAATACAAAAATCAGAATTATTAATTAAAAGAGGGGAAAATACAAAAATCAGAATTGTTAATTAAAAGAGGGGAAAATACAAGAATCAGAATTGTTAAATTAAAGGGGAAAATACAAAAATCAGAATTACTTATTAATTAAAAAGGGAAAATACAAAAATCAGAATTGTTAATTAAAAGAGGGGAAAATACAAGAATCAGAATTAAAAGGGAAAATACAAGAATCAGAATTACTAATAAAAAAAAATACAAAAATCAGAATTTCAAAATTTTATTCTGTTTTTGTATTTTACTTTTTAGTAATAATTCTGATTTAGTGGTTCCCCTTTTTTCCTAATATTTCTGATTTTATGTGGTTTTAATAATTCTGATATTATGTATTTTTATTAAATTTAAACCAGAAAATAAACTGGCAACTAAAACAGAATTATTTTAACCGAATTAATTTTTCAATCAAAAAAATAAATAAACACAAAATTTTCCTTATTTTCCAGCAATTTTTTATTTTGCTGGACACGGTTTTGAAGCAAATGGCCAATGTTATTTACTACCAATTGGCGCCCCAGCAAACGATTATGGCCCTCAAGATTGTCTTAGTATGGATTTGGTTATGAATGAATTTCGTGATTTCCATCCAGCATTAAATTTAATATTGTTGGATATGTGCCGGAGATTTTTACCTTTAAATATTGATGCGTTTGTAGCTTATTCTGAACGGTTTAGACAAGGCGAAATTAAAATTAATAGAAATACTGTTTATGGTAGGAAATAAAAAAAATTCTGATTTTCTAAAATTAAAATTCTGATTTTTTAAAATGAAAATTCTGATTTTTAAATTAAAATTCTGATTTTTAAATTAAAATTCTGATTTTTAAATTAAAATTCTGATTTTTAAATTAAAATTCTGATTTTCTAAAATTAAAATTCTGATTTGTAAACTTAAAATAAACTGTGTTTCTGATTTAAATAAGCATATGGAAAAATACAAATTCTGATTTTAAAATTAAAATACAAAAATCAGAATTTTTCAGAAAATCAGAGAAAGTAGAAAAAAGTTAAAAAATCAGAATTTTCTGCCTATCAGAATCTTAAGTTTATAAATCAGAATTTAAATTTCTGATCTCCTTAAAATTAAAATTCTGATTTTTAAACTTAAAATTCTGTTATATTTCAGAATTTAAATAAAAATACCTAAATTCTGATTTTATTAAAAAGGTTATGCTACAAGTGAGGGCATCGGTGCCTATGAAGTTAAAGGGGAAATGAACGGAGTTTTTATGAAATATTTGAAGAAACGAATAAAACAGCCTAGGCCATTACTTGATATGTTAAATAAAGTATTTTTAGGTGTGTTTTAAAAATTAAAAAAATATTTTTAAAAATTAATTAAAGATATAGAAAGAGATCCAAAAGTCAGGGATGTCCAAATCCCAGAGCTACGTTCAAATTTAACCAAACAACGAACTCTACTCGATCCGTTATGTAAAGATGGACATACAACCTCTTATAATCACCACACATTTCATTGGAGAACAATGCATGGTGTGAAAATAAATTTTTAATTTAAAAAATTTTTCAGAAAATCAGAAAAAATCGGAATATTTTAGAAAACAGAAAATCAGAATTTTCAGAAAAATCAGAATAAAAAATCAGAATTCTTCAGAAAATGAGAATAAATCAGAATTCTTCAGAAAAAATCAGAATATTTCGGTCAGAATAAAAAATCAGAATATTTCAGAAAATCAGAATAGAAAATCAGAATATTTTCAGAAATTCAGAAAAATAAAATTTTTTTTTTAATATTTTCCTTGATCAGAATTGCCAATACCTGTACAAATTGAATTTTCTGAATTAAAATTACAAGTAACTATATGGTTCGATTTTTGTGGGCATTTTACTAATAAAGTATTTAATAATTTTAAAAATAGTGAAAAGTTTTTTTAATTAAAGGTTTATGTATTTAGTAGTGTTGAAGATTTAATTCCAAAAGATGAAGATTTTCAAGAATTTATGGAAGGGAAAAATAAAGAAGATTTAAATAAAGGAGAAGGTATTAAAATTAAAAAAGAGATAAAAATTAAAATTAATTAAAAAAATTTTTAAAGATGGAAGAATGTTAGTCAGTGATTGTAAAACGTGTTCAGAATGGGCGTTATCTCATCTGGCTTATTTACGCTTTCCTGAGGTGTTTTGTTTTAATTAAATTCTGATTTTCTGAATTTAGAAATAAATACATAGAAATAGAGAATAAAATACAAATCAGAATAATTAATTAAAATCAGAATATTTAAATGAAAAACACAAACCAGAATATTTAATTTAAACAAAATACAATCAGAATTTTTAATAAACTAACAGAAACACAAAATCAGAATTAAAAATACACAAAAAATACAAAAACCAGAATTTAAACAAAACAAGGAATATAAAAACCAGAATTTCGAATAAACTAACGATAAAAACAGAATCCTAATTTCAATAAAACATGTGTAAAATACAAGAAAATACAAAAACCAGAATTTTGACTAAATTATTAATATGAACAAAATCAGAATTTAAAAAATATTAAATATGAGAAAATACAAAAACCAGAATTTAAACAAAACAAGGAATATAAAAACCAGAATTTTGAATAAACTAACGGTAAAAACAGAATCAGAATTTCAAAAGAACATGTATAAAACACAAGAAAATACAAAAATCAGAATTTTGAACTTATTGGAAACATTCAAGAGAAATACAAAAATCAGAATTTATTAAATAATAAAATAATTAAAAATATTTTTAATTAAAAGGAGTTTGAATGTTCCTCTCCAAAAATGTGTAAAGACGATGCTGAGGGTGTTTCTCTATGTGTTCTACTTTCACATTTACAAAAAGCAAAGGTTCAAAAAATTATTTCTTTGAAGAAAAAATTTTTTAATTTTAAGGGGGAGCTAACTTGTGTAGTTGAAATAAGGGATAGACAACAAAAATTAATAGCAACAAAAGAAAATCAGTTATTAGGGCATGTTTTGATAACAAGAATAGCTGGAAGGAAATAAAATATTTTATACATTAATTTTATTTTAAATTTTTTAATTTAAAAAGCCGGTGATTTTTAAATAAATTTTGTAAGAAGGACTCAACTGTCTTCATTTAAAAAATTTTTTTGGCGTTCTGTATTTTCCTTTCTTTTATTTTTTAATTCCCTCCACATTTCTACACCCTATCCAAACCAGACAAAACCAGAATTTCAAAAAAACATTTATTAAAAAATCAGAATATTTAATTAACTAACAGAAAACACAAAACCAGAATTCAATATAAACAAAAAATATAAAAATCAGAATTTATTAAATATGAGAAAATACAAAAACCAGAATTTCAACAAAACAAGGAATATAAAAACCAGAATTTTAAATAAACTAACGGTATTAACAGAATCAGAATTTCAAAAGAACATGTATAAAACACAAGAAAATACAAAAATCAGAATTTTGAACTTATTGGAAACATTCAAGAGAAATACAAAAATCAGAATTTATTAGATAATAAAATAATTAAAAATATTTTTAATTAAAAGGAGTTTGAATGTTCTTCTCCAAAAATGTGTAAAGACGATGCTGAGGGTGTTTCTCTCTGTGTTTTACTCTCACATTTGCAAAAAGCAAAAGTTCAAAATATATTTTTTGAAGAAAATATTTTTTTTAATTTTAAGGGGGAGCTAACTTGTGTAGTTGAAATAAGGGATAGACAACAAAAATTAATAGCAACAAAAGAAAATCAGTTGTTAGGGCATGTTTTGATAACGAGAATAGCTGGAAGGAAATAATTTTTTTTAATTTTTCAAATTTAATTTTATTTCAAAAATTTTTTAAATCAAAAAGCCGGTGATTTTAAAACAAATTTTTGAGGAAAAAAATTTTTTTTGGCGTTCTGTATTTTCCTTTCTTTTATTTTTTAATTCCCTCTCCATTTCTACTCCCTATCTAAAATTTGTTTTATTAAAATGCAGCATTAATATAAAAGAAAATTTTGCTGGGCAACCCCGTGGGGCTAGATCGTTGCCGAGTACTGCGCCGGACTAGTGTCAGACAAGGAGGTGCATTGAGGGCAGAGAAAAAGAATTTAAAACTCTCTCTCATTGTGCTGGGTCGTCTGTGTGGTGCGGCCCCAATTTCGCCTTTCTGCCAGTCACACCCGACAGCTAGACAGTTGGAGTGTTTCCCCACTCCATTCTTCTTAACTTCCCTCTCATTCCACACACACACACTAACCCTTCTATAAAAAAAGAAAAATACAAAAAAAGAGTGAGGAGAGGAAATGCCTTTTGGCATAAAAATGAGAGTAAACTGAGTGCTTCGGCATTAAATAAAAAAATTTCTTTAGTGAGCCTCGGCTCAACAAAAAAATAACTATGATGCGTACGCGCGTCGAAATCACGTTCTCTGACCAGCTGAAAAGCTGAGAAGAACTAAAGTCCAGCTGTGCTGGTGGACACTTCGGTGTGACAAAATTTCTCTGAAGAAATTGTCTACCTGTCGGTGGAGGTATATGGAGGAAAGTGTGACTAGCGCGGAGGTTGGAGGAGAGAGGGAAGTTGAACCTTGCTGATGCTACATTCAAGTCTGCTTGCGGTACGATGAGGCGGGCGGCCCCCCAAATTTTTTTTTTGAAAATTAAAAATGATTTAGAACAGAAAATTATAAATATGAAATTTTATTTTTCATTTAATATACAGTAGTAAATTAAGAATGGGAGCTAGAACGAAAGGGGAAAGTGTTGCGCGAGCCCTTAAACGAATTAGTATAAAATCAAGCCAATAGTTTCTTGTTCTTGATTCTCTTAATTTTGCATACCAACTTTCATCTTCTTGTATATTTCGACGTGCGATAAGGTTTCTGTTCGTGTTCGTCTACTTTGGCAAATCTCGTGTATTTTTATAAAATTAAAAAACTGGTGATTTTAAAATAAATTTTGAGGGCAGAACTCAACAGCTGGAATTATAAAATTTTCTTGGCGTTCTGTATTTTTTCTTTTCTTATTATTTTTTAATTCCCTCTCCATTTCTACTCCCTATCTAAAATTTGCTTTAATAAAATGCAGCATTAATATAAAAGAGAATTTTTCTGGGCAACCCCGTGGGGTTAGATCGTTGCTGAGTAATGCGCCGGACTAGTGTCAGACAAGGAGGTGCTATGAGGGTAGAGAAAGAATGGGAATTCTCTCCCTCATTGTGCTGGGTCGTCTGTGTGGTGCGGCCCCAATTTCGCCTTTCTACCAGTCACACCCGACAGCTGGATAGGAGTTTCTCCATTCAACTTTGCCTCTCGTTCCACACACACTAAAAAATCGAATGCTGTTTTCCAATGGTCATTATCGTTTTCAAATCGACGGTTATCCTGAGCAGTATTTGACTATAAAATATTTTATAATCGTTCAAAAGTAGAAAAGAATGCGAATATAGTTAAATGAATAAAAATAGAGTATTAGTGTAGTTTACGTCCCATAAGCCCCGCCCACATTTGTTTCCTTATAAAGTGACAGTTGGGTCAATATTTTCATTTATTTAGCCCTTCTTTCTCCCAACAAAGGAAAATCTGACTAAAAATGAAGAGAAAGGGGCGGGGCTTATGGGGTGTAAACTACACAAGTACCAAAAATATAATAAATTATTTGTTAATTTAAAATTTACATTAGCATAGCCATTTACTCCAACTTGTGTATTTTGTGAAACATATACTGAGACTGTAGGCTAGAAAAATTTTTAATTGTTTAAAATTTTTCGGAAAGAAAAATTCACATTAGCTTGTGGCATTGAATTTTCATAAAAATTACCACCAGAATTAGGTGCTCTCTGCTAGTGATGTTCGGGTATCCCGACTCCCGACACCCGACTCGGGAAATTTCCCGAGTTTTTGGCCTCCCGATCCCGACCCCGACTCCCGATGCCAATTCCCGACTAAGTCGGGAAATTTTTACACCCCTAAGAATGGCTTTTTCTCATAAAACTTTATTTTTGAAAGGAAAAAATAAAGAAAAAAAATAAAAAAAGAGAAAGGAAAATAAAATATTTAAATTTTTTCCAATTTAACTATTGTTGAGACGTGGTTGAGTGGTTAAGTTGAGTGACTTCAGTTGCTTTGTTGGGGCTGGGTTCAAATCCAGGGCTGGTAAATGTTTTTAAATAATTTTTCCACCCAAAAATAAATGGTTTTAACATTGATTTTGATTTTAAAATTTTAATTTTTTTCAATACTATGTATAAACGTCAAAAAATTCCAGAAATATTGAGTTAGTCATGGATTTTCAAAAATTTTCGGCTGCGGCGCAGAAAATGAAAAATATCTGACTTCTTAGCAGTGATGGGCAAAGTTCCAGTTCCAGTTTCGGAACTAATTAGTTTTAGTTCCAGTTCCAGAACTGGAACTACGGAACTAACGATTATCTGGAACTAGTTTGGAACTAGAACTACGGAACTAGTAAATGTCTGGAACTAGCTTTGGAACTAGTTCCGGAACTAGTTCTCGGGGGTATATTTTTGACAAGATTCCCTCGATGAAGTTTCTTAAATTCTCAAAATTCTCGCCTGCGGCGCAGAAAAAGTGGATTTTTTGGCCTACGACCTTAAAAATTCTCAAAAATAAAGAACGAGTCTGGTTCTTAGCCTTCGACTTAAGAAAATTTTTGCCTTCGGCGCGGACAAAGGATTTTAGATTGTCGAGAGTGATCATAACATCAATGGCGTATCCAGGAGGTTAGATGTCTGGCTTCCTGACCTTCCAAAATTCTCAAAATTTTAGCCTGCATAGCAAAAAATTGGTATTTTTGGCGCCGAAGGCGCCAAAAATTTTTTTGTTGTAAATTCCCGACTCCCGATCCCGACTCCCGAGGTCATTTCCCGACCCGACTCCCGTTTCCCGATTCCCGAGTTTTTTCTTCTCCCGAACATCACTACTCTCTGCCCCTATAAAATAATAAATATACTACGACATATAATAATTTAAAGTAGGGTAGATCTCAGTCCCATATCCTAATTTTTTCTGGCAAAAATCCGACCCGAATCCCGAAGGCTCTACCCCGGCAAACCCCGATCCCAACCCTGAAGAGCTACACTAATCCAAAGAATATGAGAAGTTTAAAAATCCGTTTTTCTTCTCATATTAGTGATTGGATGGTAAAGACAGTTTCAGATAAATAGAAAGGGCGCAAGAAGCCACACTATTCATCAGAGCTCTCATGATATTAGAAAAAATCCAAACTTGAGAAAAACCACCACCCCCACCATTATAATAATAATAATTATTATTATTATTCATATTCGGTCGTTGTTGATTATTTGAAAACGAACTACCACTATTACCCCCACCAGAATAATAATTATTATCCATATTCGGTTGTTGCTGATTATCTGAAAACAAAAAAATAAAAATTTTCAAAAATAAATTCTCTCATAGAAAAATTATTAAAAATTTGTTTAGTTATTCATTAAAATACAAACTAGGCAAAGACTTTAAGAGGCAATCAGTAAGATACTTATTTTGTTGAGTTAAATACTTATTATCATCTTTTAAAGCATTTTTATCTTGTTCAAGTTGGGTAATTCTTCCGCGCAAAGTTCGAATTTGTCTATTTTTTTCTTTAATCTGATCATTCTTTTCATTAATAATGTCGTCTTTTTTCTTATGCTGAGTACCTGATACCGTTTTGCTCTTCTGATATTTTATATAATTTACTAGTGTGCATTTTAGAAACCTTTTTTAAATCCAAATCGACTCCTTTAACTCCTCCAATTTCCTTTTTTATACTTAATTCCAACGAATCGCCAGGCAAAACTTGATCAAAATTGTATTTTATATCATCTCCTTCCTCACCAAAAACATTATACAACTTGACGCGTTTGTTGGCGAGAACATGGGAGGTTAACAGACTACGCTAAATTGTTTGGGATTTTATAAATTTTAGGTAATAATAATTGTAAATAATTAGTTTTCCGGAACATCAAATTTACATACTTTCCGGAAATATTTTTCCGGAATATAAAAATCACAGAAATATGTCTATCCTTCCTCACCAAAGAATAGTAAATAAACTTAAACTTTCCGGAATATAATAATATAAAAATTAAATAAACTTTCCGGAAACTTATATTTTCCGGAAACGAACTATTAATCATATGGGAATAAAAAGTTTCCGGAATATAAATTTAATTGTATAAATATGAAGTAAACTTTCCGGAAATATATTTTCCGGAAAATAATATAGAAAATATATTCCGGAATACATATAATTTCCACTAAATTATAGTTTCCGGAATAACTATTTATTATTAATTTTTATTTGTCTTCAAAAGAGACTTACAGGTTTTACTAATGTTTCCCATTGAAAAATGGCCACATCTTTTTTAGCTGACTTTTCAGATTTAATATAATATCCAATAAAATAGGTATAATTTGTTGGAAGACCAACCAATTTTATAATTCCAACCCAACGGCTTTGAGAATTTAAATTTTAATTAAAAAACAATAAAAATACTCGTCTTTGTCCTTCTTCAATTTTAAAGCTTTATTAGCCTTCCAATTTCCAAGTTTTATACTTGACCCTGTTACAAAAACAAAATGTTTGTCCAAAACGGGGAAGGGAACAGAAACGGAAAAATAAACAGTATTAACCATTTATCCCTGAAAAAATATTAAAATTATTGTGTGATTTTTAAAGCTAATTTTCATTGAACTAGGCATAAAATAAATGATAAAAAGGATTTACAGCACATGTTAGTGACCCAAAACTTTCCAAGATTTGGTCAATTTTAATTGTTTTATACACGAAGTTGTCTGGAACTCTTCAGATATATCTTCAAATTATTTTCAATTTTTATTGAGAATTTATATATCAAGAATATAAGCTTTAATTTTAATGCTAAAATAAGCTTTTTCATCATACATATAGTGCAAAAATTATTTTGAAGAAATGGAGGGCAAGTAACGCAAAATCGATGTATATGTATTTTTCCCATTTTCTTATAGTGTGTATTTGTTTCGTGTCAGGCTAACTCACGGAATGAACAAGCTGGAAAATAAATAATAAAATGGTAAATTAACTTTCCGGAAAAATATTTTACAAAAAATTAAAGTTAAAATCAAATAAACTAATCGATATATTTCGTCGTATTTAGTTGCATGTTTCATCATGTTTATAGTGTGTTTCTTCTTTATATTATTATTTTTACTACTTTATTCTGTGTATTTTTACCAACAAAACCTTCCGGAAATAACTTTCCGGAAAATATAAGTAATACAAAATCAAGTAGAATTAGACCCTTTGGAGACATTATAGTATTTTCCGGAAAATAAATTGTAAAATAAATTTAACTTTCCGGAAACATATTTTCCGGAAAATAAATTGTAAAATAAATTTAACTTTCCGGAAATATATTTTCCGGAAAATTAACATAATAATCAACTAATCTAGAAAAATATGTATATAAAATTTTCATGGAATTAATTCAAGTCATACTCCTTGAAAATAAAGTTGACGGGAAAGCTGTTATAAAACACCTCATGTATTAAAATTGAGATAAATTTGTTGTCAAATTAAAACGTTAACTCTAAAAAATTTTATTTAAGTTTTGGATAAATTGCTTTAAGAAATATATTTGAAAGACAAAAATTTTTTGGAAAAATTTTTTAACAAAATTGAAAAAAAATTAATTTTAATAAAATTCAATGTGAAAGTTTAAATATTTATTTATTGTTGTAAATTTTATAAATGGCACATTACAAAACTTTAAGTCGAACATGAATAAATTAAAAATGAAAATAATTTAAATGATATCCATATAGGAAACAATAAACATCAGTTTTTGTAAACAAACTTAGTTCAATTTTAACGTTAAAATGCTGAAAAAATAAATTTTAAAATTAAAAAAGATACAATTTACTTTGATTAATCTGTGTATAGGTGCTCATAGTGGGTTGTTGCATGTTATAATTAAGAGGAAAAAATTAAATTTTAATTAAAAAATTTTTAATTTTAATTTATTTTAATTAAAAATACTCGTCTTTGTCCTTCTTCAATTTTAAGGCTTTATTAGCATTCCAATAGCCAAGTTTTTTACTTGACCCTGTTACAAAAACAAATTGGTCATCCAAAACCGGGAAAGGAACAGAAACGGAAAAATAAATAGTGACCATTTATTTATTATTCCTGAAAAATATAAAAAATTATTAAAAATATTTTTATTATAATTTCGAAATTTGCATTAAAATAAAGAAAAACTTGAAATATATTTTATTATTTTGGCCTTAAAATTATTAAATATTTTCGACATTTTTGGGAAAACTGGATAGGTATACACCTAATACATTTATTTTCCGGAATATTTATTCCGGAATATATAAAATTAAATATTTGCCGTACTAATATAAGCATTTTCATAATATAGTTCAATGGCAGAAAATTAGTTGTAGTAAGAAAGGAGGGCGAGCACGTACATATTTAAAGCAAAATCGATACATTTCCTCTTGCTACTGGCCTATGTTTCATCATGTTTTAAATATTTTGTTCAATGTTTTTTTATGTTTTTACATTTTACTATGTATGTACTGTTTATTTACTAAAAACTTTCCGGAAATAATATAGCGTTCCGGAAAACATAATATGTATAAAACAAAGTAAACTTTCCGGAGACATATAGTATGTTCCGGAAAATAAATAATAAAATAGGGTACTACAATTAAATTAATTTTCCGGAAAACTTTATATTTTCCGGAAAAATTAACTCTAAAATTAAATAACTTACAAAAATATATTTTCCGGAAAGTATTTATTTAGTAGTACTTAAGTTTATGCCTTACTAAAAAATTTTTTCCATTTAGAATATTTTATTTTGCAAAATTTTAATTCCAATTTTAAATTAAAAATGCCAACACAAACATCAAAAACTTCTCAAAATTCATCAACAAATTTAGCAGAAACAACAAATTCAGAAGAAATTGATTTGGTAGAAAAATCGTTACGGGCAAATGGATGTTGGGAGACTCATTTGAATTTGTCTGAATGTGTGGCTGATAAAAGGGATTGGAGAGCGTGTCAATCAGAAGTTAAATTATTGCAGGATTGTATGAAGAAGGCGAATGAGAAGAGGAATTTAAAGAAATAAATTTAAAAAAATTTTTTTGAAAATTTATTTTGATTAGAAAGATTGTTTATTTATTGATTTTTAAAAAATAAAATTTTATACATTATTTTTAAAAAATAAAATTAAATAAAAGTATTTATACTCAATATATGTACTTATGTTTTTCTAAATAATAATTTGACTAGTTTGTATTTTTAAAATATAAAAACTTTCCGGAAATAAAAATATAATATTCCGGAAAAAATACAGCCTTCCGAAAGTTATATTACTTTATGGTTTCCGGAAATGGGGTAATCGTTTCCGGAAGAAATAGAACTTACCGGAAAGAATAACTATCGGAATAATATAAAAACTTTCCGGAAATTATATTATATGCTTTCAGGAATTCGCAATAAAACCTTCCGGAAATATAATAAAATTGTCCCGAATAATATACTATAACTTTCCGGAAAGAGTATAACTTTCCTTAAAGAGTATAACTTTCCGGAAAGAGTATAGCCTTCTGTTAAAGTAAATAACTTTCCGGAAGTTATACTAATATAAACCATTTCCCGTAAACAACAAAAATTTTCTTTCCGTAAAATAAAGCAAAAATAAAAAGTTTAGCAAAATAAATATTTTAATAAGTAGCAGATAGAGAACGAATAAATTCGTCAGCTTCCTTATCCTCTTTCCTAGAAGCTAATACAGCCATAATTGTTGGATTAGTTACTGGAAAATAAAAATAATTTTGTAAAAATTAAAAAAAACCTCTAGAAGAAGGATGGGTTAGTACCAAATTAAATTGTAAAGGGAGAGTGCTTCCAGTACGTGAAAGGGGGTTATTGGTAACGGAAGATGAATTGTTAGTCTTAATTTTTTAAATATTAAAAATAAGGTAGTTTTTGATTTTAAAATTTAATTAAGTTTGGGTTTATAGGTAAGTAGCCTACAACACGAAAAAATAATAAATAAAAATTTCCGGACAGTAAAAGCTCAAGTAAAATTGAATAAACTCCTGCCGGAATATAAATATTAAGTGTTATATAAAATTAAAATAAACTTTCCGGAAACATTATATGTTGTTTCCGGAAATATAAACTTTCCCGAAAATATATCTAAAATTTTCCGGAAAAGTATAAGCTCAGACTAATTTAAATAATCTTTCCGGAAACTATAAACTTTACGGAAAAAAATATTAAGAGTTATACTTAGAAAAATAAATCCGGAAAGTTTCCGGAAACATTATGGTTTCCGGAAATATAAACTTTCCTGAAAATTTAATAAAAAGATTTCCTGAGAGTATAAGCTCAGGTTATTTTAAATAAACTTTCCGGAAAAAAATATTAAGAGTTATACGTAGAAAAATTAAATAATCTTTCCGGAAACATTATAGCTTCCGGAAAACACATTTTAAAATATTACTTTAATTTGTCTTGTATTTCTATTTATTTGTTCGTTTCGATTGTTTAAATTTGATTGACCACTTGATGATATTTTATCTGTAGCAAAACCAGGGACTTGTCTTAAATCGAGAAATGCTTCACCAGCAAAATCATTAGACTAAAAAATAATTTTTAAAATTTTTTAATGAAATTATTTTTTACTTTGAGAAAATCATGATCCATAATAACAAAATGGGCAAGTGCACAAGGGGGTAGAAATGATGGAACATTGCTTTAAAAAATTAAATTTAATTTAAAAAATTAATTTTTATTATTTTTTAATAATTTTTTCTCTCCCATGAATTTAAGAAAATTTTGAAAAAAAGATTCCAAATTAATTTTTGGTCATTTTTAGGAGGTCCAAAAATAAAAAAAAAATTTCAAATAATCAAAAAAATAAATCCGTACAGAAACTAGACAGAAAAATAATTTTTTCCTCCTCACAAAAAAATAATTAAAAATTTATTTAAAAATATTATTAAACCAACAATTCAAAGGTTTCTCCAAAAACTGGATTTAGGCAAGAACTGACAACCTTAGAAAATAATTATTTTTTTAAACCTAAAAATATTATTTTTTCAAATCACCTTAGTTTTTGCATTATTAATATCAGGAAAGTGCACTTTAGGTAATAATTCAATAACAACATACGGGTCACTTAAACCATTAGAATCTAGTGGAATTATTTGTTTGGCACTTAAAACTTCAATTACTAAAAGTTGAGAATTTGGATTAAAATAAGCACGTAGATTGAGTATTCCATATTTACATTCTGTTACCTAAAAAAATTTTTTGAAATTAAAAAAAGGAAAAAATTAAAATTTGGGGAGGGTTGGAAGCTTAGGACAAAGAAAGATCGGAAATTATAACTTTGCCTATAGAAAAGATAAAATGCTAAAATTTTTAGGAGTTATTCCCAATAGTGTCATCTAACAAATCTGAAAATTTCAGAATTTTAGGTTTAGTATTTCCAAAGTTATGACAGAAAACGTCAGTTTAATTGAAAAAAGGAAGATTTTTAAATTTGTTTTCAGCCACATTTTCGAAAACATTTCTGGAAAAAATTCCGGAAAATTGTGTATTCACCACAACTTTCCGGAAATATAATTCGTCTCCGTACATAGAGAATTGATGAATTAAATTATATTTTCCGGAAGAGTAATATAAAATTATAAGTAAAATAAACCTTCCGGAAAACAAATATTATGTTATTTATATAGTTCAAATATATTTTCCGGAAACATTATAGCTTCCGGAAAATAAACAGTATAAAATTATAAGTAAAATAAACTTTCCGGAAAACAAATATTAATAATTACATAGACTTCAACTATATTTTCCGGAAACATTATAGCTTCCGGAAAATGAACAGAATAAAATTATAAGTAATATAACTTTCCGGAAACATTATAGCTTCCGGAAAGTATAATTAAAGAAGCATTGACCCTTATTTTTATTTAATTTTAATATTTACTTCTTCTTGTGCTTTAATTAATTCACTATAATACAATTCTATCAAGTTTTCTGTAGACATTTGATAGATAGATATTTGTTCATGAAATTGTCTGTAATCGAGTGATTGAGCGAATGATTCAACAGAAATTCCCTTTAAATATTTTTAAAAAATTAAAAAAAAATTTTTTTTACTTTTCCATCAGCATGAAAAAAATCTAATAAAATAGCAAGTGCATCAGTTAAACGACGGTAAAATACAGGTTCTTGTCCGATATTTTCATTAACGCATTCTTGGAAGAGTTTGAGCAGTAAATGAACTTGTGAATACATTACACGTGTAAACTGTGGAAAAAGAAAATAAAATGTCAAAATGTTTAAAGAAAATTCTGAAAAAATCAGAATATTTTGAAGATTTTAAGAAATCAGAAATTCTGGGGATAAATCAGAATTTCTGCTTTAAAAAAAAGAAAATCAGAATTATTATCAAAATTAAAATCAGAATTAATATCAGAAAAATATCAGAATTATTCTGATTTTTATACTTTAAAATTCTGATTTCAATTCTGATTAAAATCAGAATTATTCTTATTTTCGTGATTGAAACTTCTGATTCTAAGTTTCAAAAATCAGAATAATTCTGATTTTTATGTCTTAATAATTCTGATTTTAATTGCTCGAAAATCAGAATTATTCTTATTTTCATAACGGAAACTTCTGATTTTAATTTTCAAATATCAGAATAATTCTGATTTTAATTTCTCGAAAATCAGAATTATGCTGATCTTTAAAAGATTAAAATCAGAATTTTTGACCTGAAAATTCTGATTTTTTAATTCTCTGCTATTCCTCTTATTCTGATTTTTCTTAATTATTCTGATTTTTTATTTAAAAAATCAAAATTTAAAAAATTTTTTCCAATTTTACATTTCTATGTAAAAGGCAACGATGAACAATAGACAATTCTCCATCCAACAATTTAATTAAAGGTTTAAGGCAATCATCTGTTGGGCAAGCTGATGGACTCCAAACAAGATGAAAAATTGCCTTTTTAAATTATTTTTAAATTTAAATTTAAAAAATTTTTTTACTTTTTTGTATTTGGCTATTTGTCTACGAACAAATTGATCTTAAAAATTCATTTTTTATTTAATAGCGAAATATTAAGAGGATAAACTAGCCTATCAAAGCTTCAATTTGCTCTACAATGTTTTGACTGCAATTATCTAATTGTTGTTCGATATGGGCACGCATTGAAGAACGTTCCTAAAATTAATAGAATGGGAGGAATTTTAGAAATTCTGAAAATTCTGATTTAAAAATTCCGACTTCCAAAAATCAGAATTTCATAACAACTTTCAGAAATTATGATTCACAGATTTCAGAATTCAGAAAATTCTGATTTTAAGCTTTCAAAAATTCTGATTCAAAAAATTTCAGAAATTCTCATTTTAAAATTTCAGAAGTTCTGATTTTAATATTTCAAAAATTCTGGTTTTAAAATTTCAGAAATTCTGATTTGAAAATTTCAGAAATTCTAATTTTAAAATTTCAGAAATTCTGATTTGAAAATTTCAGAAATTCTAATTTTAAAATTTCAGAAATTCTGATTTGAAAATTTCAGAAATTCTGATTCTAAATTTTCAGAAATTCTGATTTTAAAAATTCTGACTTGCAAAAATCAAAATTTATTAAATTAAAAAATTTTCAACAAAAATATTTACATTATCATAACACCCATCTCCTTCAATCTCATCAAGTTTAAGTCTATCCGCGCATGCCAAACAACGCCTTACTTGTTCACAACTATTAACTAACGCAGTAAAATGATCAATTTGTTCGTTAGTCAATTGTTCTACAATATTTTGTTGTTTGTTTAAATTGCCAAAATCGAAGGGACGGCGCATAATAATTTGGTCCGTAAAGTGTTTGGATATTTTACAGAGTAAACGAGTTAATCTTGAAAAAACGGAAGAAATTTTTTTAATTAATTTAATAACAAGCCTAGTGGTTAAAGAAGCACGTAGTTGCATATTTTCAACCTGAAAAGGTATTGTAAAGTTTTAAGGTAATAAGAGGATTTTTCCGGAAATAAACTTCTTCCGGAAATGTCAAATAAACTTTTCCGGAAAAAATATAATTATACAAAATAATGTTTCCGGAAAAATATATTAATAGAGTATACTAATTATTTTCCGGAAAAACTATAATTAGCATGTAAATTAAAACTTTTCCGGAAATGGGAAATAAAGGAATCCGGAAAGAAAGGAATAATATTTTATTTCCGGAAACATTTATATACACAGAAATAAATGTTTCCGGAGAAGTATGTATATCAATAGAATTTTAAGAATTATTTTCCGGAAAAACTATAAATACTCTGAACTTACGGAAAATTAGCATTTATTCAAAATATATTCCCAATAAAGTAATTTTGAAAATTTACGGAAACCCTTAATGAATTTCAAGTTAATTAATTTACCCTCAATCGTTCCCATATAAAAAGCAATTGCTCCAGAATATGGCAAGCATCCATAGCTGATACTGTTTGTCTAATATCGTTGTTTATGAGAATTATAGGGCTTTGACAATCCAGATTAAGGGAAAGATCAAGTCGGGAAAAGGCATGAACTAATTTTATTTGTTTAGAAAAAATATTTTTTCATTCCACACACCTTGTGCAAATTCCAACCATCTTTGTATTGCCCTATCAAAATGTGCTGACCAATCCAGCTGCTCCATTCGATATTGAAAATGCCCAGTAGTCCCCGTCATTAAAATATTTCTGTATCCAGAAAATTCATTCAAAGCCAAATGAACGAGTAAAATAGGTAAAAGTATCTGTTGTTCATCTTCAATATTATTACTGTTTTCTTCGTGATGACAAAGTTGAGTTATGGCACGTAAATCAGAACAGCCTTCAGACATTAGTTCGCTTATGATATGTTCGTGTAACTATAAATATTAATTCCTGATAATTATACCGAGGGAATTTAACTTTCCGGAAAATTATATTAATAGAGGTTTTATAATAATTTTCCGGAAAAATAGTAAATAATAGTTAGGAAGTTATAACTTTCCGGAATATAAATTAGAAGTTTTCCGGAAATAGAATAATAAAGTAGAAGAATAAATTAAAACTTTTCCGGAATATAATTTAAATATTGTAAACTTTCCGGAAAATAATAATACTATTTTTAGTATAACTTTCCGGAAAAAGAATAATAAGTGGTCGGAAATAAAACTTTCCGGAATATGAATTAATACTATTATAAACTTTCCGGAAAGCAAATAATAAATTGGAAATATAACTTTCCGGAAAATTATATTACTATTTTTATTTAGAATAACTTTCCGGAAAAAGAATAATAAGTGGTCGGAAATAAAACTTTCCGGAATATGAATTAATACTATTGTAAACTTTCCGGAAAGCAAATAATGAATAGGAAATATAACTTTCCGGAAAATAATATTACTATTTTTAGTATAACTTTCCGGAAAAAGAATAATAAGTGGTCGGAAATAAAACTTTCCGGAATATGGATTAATAATCGTTATAAACTTTCCGGAAAGTTAGGAATAAATAGCCAGTAAATAAAACTTTTCCGGAAAATATACAAATATAGGCTATAATTATACACATCTACTGAATTAAACCCACCAATAAATCAAAAGTACAATAACCAATATCAGCATAATTTACAATTTCAGACATTTCTTGTTTAAAAATATCCTCAAATTTTGAGCTTCTTTCTAACGTAGTATTAAGGGAATGAATTAATAAATAAAGCCTATTAATGGCATTATTCTCCTTATTTTTAGAATTATTTTCAATTTTATTAATTTCCTCAATATTTAATAAAATTGCATTAAAATGAAGATTAGCACTTTTTTCCTATAGAAAAAAATTTTTTTTAATATTTAATTTGAATTATCCAACCAAAAGTTCTCTCATTTCAGTACGAAAATGTGTTTGATATGGAACTAAGTGAGCAAAAACTGGGCTTTCTCGAACTAATCTACAAATTAGGAAAGTATTTCATTGACAAAGGGAGAGGGAAACGACCTGTAACATTTAAGCATTTCACCAAAAGACTCGAGCTCTGAACGCTTAGGCGAGGGAGATCTACGCCTAGAGCCTGACCGCACTCTAATCCTTAGCCGATGCCTTAGAATTGCAGAACGACAAAATTCGCTGAATTGAAGTAAAGAATCGGCAAGAACGTATTCTTCATCCTGTGATAGAATTAACATAAATTTATATTAGTGTTGGTGACCGGTTAATTTTCCCAATGGCGACTGAAATTCTCTTATTCTTCTCTGTTTGAACCACCATAGGCAAGAGTTAACCGGTCGCCAACAACCCTCATTTATATTCCGGAAGAGTTAATATTTAATTTATATAAGAATAAACTTTCCGGAATAATTCACAAGATTAAATAAATATTTTTCTCTTTCCGGAAATAATATGTCGAGAAATATTATTAATGCCCCCGGAAATAATATGTCGAGAACTTTCCGAAAAATATTTAAAAATAATTTCTTCCGGAAAGAGAATATTTAGAACGCAATGTAAAACTTTCCGGAATATAATTTTAAAGGAATTATTTTATTTTTAGATTAATTCTTGAATATTGCCTTATCAAGTTCCATAGGTTTCCATTTACCAACAAGCTTCGAAAATGTTTCATAGATTAATTCGAAAGAAATACCCATTCCAATCATTTGTATATAGGCCAACCATTGACTGAAGGGATTATAAAATTTTTCCAATTTAAAATTTTTTTTAAATTTCCCAACCACATCATCTGGTGTAATTCAGTCAGATCACTCTGTATTGCGTGTTGGTGTAATATAAGTAAAGCCAAATCTGGCAGTTGCCCTCTGAATGCACAAACAGGATCTCCCTTCCTTCCAATTTCGTAAAGCGCAAATTGTCTTAAAAGGTCTTTGTGTTGTTGAACATCAACTAAACCATCAGCATCATCATCTAGAAAAATGAAATCGTCGTTTCGTTGTTCCTCTGTGCTTGATAGGCGGTGTTCTTCTCGGGTACTGAAAGGTAAAGAAGTAAATAATATACATAGGTAATATTGTAAACTTTCCGGAAAATATAACACTTTCCGGAAATAAAATAATATGTAATAGACTTTCCGGAAAACATTCGCTTATAGTTTCCGGAAATATTTTTCACAACTATAAATTAATATGTACAGAATTCCGGAAATATAACATTCCGAAAAATGTTTAATTAGTCTAAAAGTAAATATAAACTTATACAAAAAATTCCGGAAATAGTATAACCTTCCGAAAAACAAATATAATTTATTATTCTCAACTACCTTAACCACATTTTCAGCTTAATCTGACCAGAAACTTCAGACTTTTCAGATCTCTTCTCCAAATTAAACCATTGCTCAACTCCAGTAGAAGGAATCTCTCCCAGAGAAAAAGTAAGAGAACCAAGAAAATCATCAACAAGTCCATCACCCCCAGCACAACCTCCACCACCGGAACTAGCTCTAGCACTTTGTGTTACTTCTTTAAAGTAACGCCCTAATCCTTTGAGGCCTTGAACTTGGTTGAGGGAAGAAACAACGTCCAATACACTTCGATTCTCATCATCATGGTCCCTAGTATTTTTAAGTTTATTTTTGCTTCTGGAAATTAATTTAAAACCATATATCCAAATGGAATCGATCAGTACAATCACCCACTACAAATTGAAACTTTTCGTTCCATTTTGGATTGAGTGTCTTCTTCTGGACAGAGGATGCTTTTATTATACGTGCAGGTATCCCATCACCAGTCTGTTCAAATGCTGCTTCCAACTTTTCTCTTCTAGAAGCTCCAGGGAAGGCTTTACGACGGAATGAACCACTAAGCCTTTGGAGTACTCTGCGATGCTGGGGAGGTTTTCCTGATGAGTTGTTGTTATTTTGTTCTTCTTCAGGTGAGTCCTAAAAAGTTTTCATATTCAGAATAGCAATATGTATAAAGTAGAGAGGTCTATTTTAAAAATGGGTTACTGTAGAAGGAGAAATTGGACATAATAGATTTGTTATAAAAAAGGCCAGCAGGATTATTCGCATACTAACGTTTGCTGCATTGGAATAAAATTTATTACAAATAAAATTGACTGACTTGAGAGCCGCCTGTAGCATTTGTAGCTTCGTGTTGTTCATCTTCTCCACCTTTGGACGATGATGGTATTACTCCCAACATAACAAAGGGGTCTGAGAAGCCGTCACTTGAATATTAATTTTTAATTTAAAATTTCCTCGTGATTTATTATTAAAAAATAACGTACATGTCTTTAGCTATCAAATCCCTTGCTTCCAAAAGCAAAACATTCAAAAGCAAAATCGGTGGTTTTTCGCTAAGAGCCTTCTCAACTAAAGCTTTGTGTGTTTTTTCGTCTATTTGAAATGCTGATTTTGCATATTGAAGTAATTGTTCTTCACCAGAAACTCCTCCAACACTGCCAACGGAAACTGAACTTTCCTTTTTTCCAATTCGATGGAGAATGGTGTAAACTGTTTCCAGATAAAGATCCTTATAAAATATTTTATTTTTAAATTTCCTGAAACACATTTTCCGGAAATATCTTTATTTTATCTTTATTTCATTTCATAATATTAAAAAATTTCTTCTAGTAAATTTTCCGGAAACAATTCCGGAAACTATTATATTTTCCGGATATTTACTTCACCATTTCAGTTATATTTTCTATTATATTTAATTCACTTATATTTTCCGGAAATTTATTTCTCCATTTCACTAAAGTATTCTATTTTCCGGAAACTTCTATTTATATAAATTCCGGAAACAATTCCGGAAACTATTATATTTTCCGGAAATTTAATTCACCATTTCACTAAAGTATTCTATTTTCCGGAAACTTCTATTTATATAAATTCCGGAAACAATTCCGGAAACTATTATATTTTCCGGAAATTTATTTCTCCATTTCACTAAAGTATTCTATTTTCCGGAAACTTCTATGTATTTATATAAATTCCGGAAACAATTCCGGAAACTATTATATTTTCCGGAAATTTATTTCTCCATTTCACTAAAGTATTCTATTTTCCGGAAACTTCTATTTATATAAATTCCGGAAACTTAATTATTTTACACAAATTATTTTCTTCTAAAAATTTTCCGGAAACTTTTTTATTCTATTCCGGAATCTTTTAATTATATTCCCAAAAAAATTATATTAATTATATTCAATTTCCGGAAACTATTTCACGTTCCGGAAAGTTTTATTTCCTTTTAATAAATATAGACTAATATTACATTCATATGCTTCTTTTGTTGTTCTACATCTTTTGACGGGGGCCGCAAAGAGAACTGCCCAAAGCGTTCAGTCAACTGTTTACTGCTAGTGATACTATTTTTAATCGGTTTCTTAGTGTCAATTAAGAGTTCAGCATTATTTGCTTCTATGTATTTACTGGGCAATATAGCCGACAAATCTACATCATCCCCCACTGTGAGGCGTTCAAAGAAGTGTCCATCGGAAGCTTGAACACTGAAAAAAATTTTTTTCCTTTTTTTATTCAATCTCACAAACATTTCTCGCCGCTCCCGCACCCTTCCAGCATTTTCCTCCTCCTCATCAAACGAAGCAGCAAAGTCTCTCGAAACTTGTCTGATATACCCCGCCGCTCTGTTAATCTGACCACGAGCCCAGGTTTGAATTCGACCGACTGATGTAGCCGAACTACTACTGGTTTTCCTCTTCCATTCTGACATTTTTTAAAAAATTTTTTTTTAATTTTTAAAGAGAGCAGAATTGAAAAAATAATTTAATTATCGTCATTAATGATAAAAAATAATTATTTTTATATTGTTTCTTCAATTTTATCATAAAATTAAATAAAAAGAGTAATTAAAAAATAATTGTTGGAATATTTGAAATAATTGTTAAAATATTCAAAGATAATGTAAATTAAGAATTTTGACCTTTTTTATTTTTATTTGTTGTTTTTCTGCTAAAAATTATTTTAAAATATTTTAGAATTTTCTTTTACTAAATAAGGCACTTTGTGGGACAGTAAACGAGGGAAGGGTGTAAATGACGCGCGATTGACGCAAAAAGGAAGTACATAAAACGGAACAAAAGTGTAAAGGGGTAGACCGGAAACTGTGGAAGAAAAAATAAAAATAACAAGGAAAATAGAAGGGTGCAAAAAATAAATATTAATTATTCTGTGGGCGTTAATTAATACATTATTATGCAAAAATTATGGAAAATATATTATTTTCAGGAAGAAATTAACAATATAAACTACTAATTAAAATAGGTATATTTTCCGGAAGTATAACAGTTTTCCGGTTTTATAATTTTCAGGAATTTATTTTATGTAACTAAACCTTCCGGACATTAATAGTGACTGTATTTCCGGAATAAAAATAAACTTTCCGGAAAGTTAAACAAATTTAACAAAGAATATTTCCGGAAGGTTTATAATTATAATTAAAATAATTTTTCCGGAAGTAATTTTCCGGTTTATATTTTTCGGAAATTATTCCTTGAAAATAAACCTTCAGGAAATTTCTGGAATAAAAATAACTTTCCGGAATGTTTATATAAATTTAATAAGGAATATAAAAATATTTCCGGAAAGTTGCGGAATAGCTTAACTTAATTTTTATCAAATTAAATTTTTATTGTATTTTTAAGCATTTTATATTTATTTAAATAAATTTCATTTTTCTAATGCTTATTTCTTTTTTCTATCCTCCCTCACATAGCACACATTCATTTTTGTGCTTTTATGTTATGCATGAATGTTAGACCACTGAAATAAATTTTTTTAATAAGGCAAAGGCTTTTTGGAGGAAGGCAAGCATGTATTGTTGTCCTATGAACACGAAAATTTTTTGGAAGAAAATTGAATGAAAAAAAGGAAAGTGGATAAGAAAGAATGAAAAAATTGGAAGAAAAAAGAGGAAAAAAAATCATCAGTAAAAAGACCCATAAATTTTCTTAGAAATACTACCAATTTGGAATAAAAATGAGAAAAAATTTTCTTGAAATATATATCTAATAAAAATTGGTGGGAGTGGGGTTTTATAGGGTTTTTTTTATTTTTTTAATTCATTTTTTATTAATTTGGAGGGGAATTCTTTGAAGAAGGGAGGAATTTTTTTAAAGATATTGGCTTCGATTTAATTTTAATTTTCTTTTAGGAAATAAAATTTTAAGGGAAGAATAATGTAAATTTAAATATAAATAAATCCAGATTCAGAATAAAAAATAATAATTTAAAATTAAATAATCCTCTATGGGATTAAATAAAAATAAGTAAATATTTTTAATTAAATCCAGATTTTCGGTCATATATTAGAAAATAAAAATTTTTTATTTTTAAAAATAAAAAGACAAAAAGTTTGTGTAAAATATTCGGGAATTAAATAAATAAAGTAAATATAATTTTTATAACAAAAAAAGAAAAAAAATTAATTATATATTAATTATACACATTAATCTAAGAGAATGCTCAACAAAAGAAAAATAAGAAAATTTTTAAAAATAAAAAAAATATACGGATGAAAAGCAAAAAATTAAGTAAAAGTGAAAATGAAAAAAGAACCAAAAAAAGAGGAAGTAAAGCGTGGGAAGGAAAAAGAGATAAACATTGCGGATTATATTTGCGGATAAATTTATTTGTAAATTTATAGGGAGATTTAAATTATGTGTGGCAAAATAAGCAATTCAGAATTAAAATCAGAATTTATTAAATTAAATTATAAAGTTGAACTACAAGCTATAACAGAATTAAAATTCAGAATTAAAAAAGTTTAAATTATAAACTTAAGTTAAAGTTTTAGGTTTACATTCTGATTTAAAATTGAAAAACTTAAGCATGAACTAGACTTGAAAACTTAGAAACTTAAGTTTATGAATAAAATCAGAATTAAACTTGACCAGAATTATAAAACTTAAAATCAGAATATATTTAAATTAAGTTTCTGATTTTAAAAAATAAATTTAGATTAAATATCAGAATTATAAATCAGAATTAAAAGGTCAGAATTATAAGAAATTCAATTTAAATATACATCTTCTGTTTTCAAGTTTTATAATTCTGGTCAAGTTTAATTCTGATTTTATTTATAAACTTAAGTTTAAGTTTTCAAGTTTTATTTCTGTTTTAATGTCTTTTTAATAATAAACTTGAACTTAAGTTTATAAGTGAAATCAGAATTAAAATAACAGAATAAACATATCAAAAGGAATAAAAATCAGAATTAAATTTCAGAGTTAATTTCAGAATTAAATTTCAGAATTAAATTTCAGAATTAATTTCAGAAGCAATTTCAGAATTAAAATATCAGAATAAACATATAAAAAGGGAATAAATATCAGAATAAATATCAGAATTAAATTCCAGAATTAAATATCAGAATTAAAGTTCAGAATTAATTTCAGATTAATTTCAGAATTAAATTTCAGAATTAAAATTCAGAATTAAAAATTCAGAATTAAAATTTCAGAATTAAATTTCAGAATTAAAATTAAATTTATTTATTTAAATTTCCGCAAATTTTAAAATTTATCCGCAAATTTTGAAAATAAAAATAGATTCTTTAAAAAGAAAAGTAAAAGCAAACATTTACGCCAGAATGCAAAGATAAGCTTACTACTTAAAAAGACTTTTAAATTTGAGAACAATTAGAGCTGTCTTATGAGCTAGGGAATAAATAAATGGCAGCACGCGCGGCACAAAAAAGACAAAATTTTTCTTTTAAAGAGTAAACAGATAAAAAAATTTTTTTAAGTAAAAGATAAAGCAAAAAGTAGTGCATTACTAAGGAAACACTTTGACATTACGAAGAAAATAATACGATTTAATTTTTTGAAAATAAAAAAAAATAAAATTTTATTAAAAATAAAAGTTGAAAATGAGAAGGAAAATTTGTGGCTAATAAGTAGGGAAATGTTGAAAAAAATTATTGGGATTTTAGTAAGAAAAAAAATTAAAAAAATAAATTTAAAAATAAATTAGATGCCCCTAATCAAAGTTATGGCGTCTATTTTGATATAGGCCACTTTTAGAGAGCTTAAATTAAAGTGTGATTGGCCTCATTGGGAGAATTTGTATTAATTATGGGCTTTTCTGTAAATAATAGAGCCGGGCTTTAATTAAAGCATTTATGTTAAACTAAATTTTTAAAGTAGCTTCCTGAATAATTTCAGGAACATATTTCACAAATTTATTTTCGTGAATTAAAATAACCTTCCTGAATGAAAACAATTTTTTGGAATTGGAATAACTTCCAGGAGAGTGTATACATAGAACTTAACCTAAAAGTATGGATATACCTTAATATTTCAATGTACGAACAGCTACTATAATGGTTTCACTACCTTAGGCCACTGGGTCTTGTACATTGAAGAAAAAAGTTTTTATATTTTAAAATCAAGCATAGAAAATTCAAAAAATTAAAATTATGAAAGAGTAATTTGACTTTAAAATTAATTAAAAAATAATTTTAAATTAAGCAAATAATTAATACAAGATTAGAAAACAAAAATATGTGTATATTTATTTGTTTAGAATGTGTTACCAACAAAACAAAATATTTTTACTAGTATAGTGTATGCGTGAGATTGGAATGCCACATTTGCTAAAAGGGCGGCTGCCACAAAAAAAAATATAAAAAAATATAGAAATGAAAGAAAGAAAAGTGTATGAATGTGTGTTGTCACACAGTTTCAATTTAATACTAAAAAAAGAAGAAAAAAGGATAAAAAGCCTAACAAAAAAAAGTAAAAGTTTTTTTTATCTGTTTTAAGGGATGGGAAAATTAAAAAAGGAATGAGGATAATAGTAGTTGCAAAATTAAATAGTAATGGATCGGATATAATCGAAATAATGCTTTCTTTAATGCTTCCTAGGTCGTAATAAAATTTTCAAAGTAAACATACTTTGGTACAGGAGAGTGTTGTGTATGGCTTAGGGAGCTAGCCCAACTTCGGAGCCGGTGCCAAGAATTCGAAAAAGGTCGAAGCTGGAGCTGGAGCCTGAGCCAAGGTTTGAGCCAACAAATGCCCAAAACACAAAACTTGTACGAGGGTTAAGAAGAAAAATAGAAAAATAGCGGGTGTGCGAAGAACTTTTATAATGTGAACAGCAAATCCAAATTTTAAAGTTTATATAAATTCCTGAAATTAATACTAATTAATATTGTTATTTAAATTTTTGTTCCTTTCAATTTAAATTTAATAGCCAAAATTTAATTTTTAATTGAAAAAATAAAATAGAGATTAAAATTTAAATAGTATTTGAAGCATGGAAAGTCTGAAGAATATTTATTCCAGTGGATTTTTCTATTTTTTATTTTTTTCATGTTATTCAAGCTTTCTTGAAAAATATTTGAAATTCTTCTATAAAGCCCCTAAAATTAAAAAAAATTATTTTTTATCTCAGATTAAAATAATTTCCATACTCTACTCTCAATTACTCTGTCGCAAAATGCGAAATTTCTTTAATTAAAATTTTATTTTTAATTCAATTTTATTTTTTGTACTCCTTATCTTTTAAATATATCTAAAGAATTTTTCCCAGCCTTATTTTTATTTTATTTATATAAAACTTTGGCCTGTATATATATGCTTATTCTTCTTCCTAGATTGATCAGTTTGTAAATCTTCTTAGCCTTCCTTATTATTTTGCTTCACATTAGCAATTTTTCCTATCCTTACTTTAATATATTTTTTTGTGAAAGAAATAAACTTTGTCTGGAAAAGAATTTATTTTGTTTTAACCTGAGAGAAATTATCCCAATCTCTCTGTCGCTGGATTCAGAATTACCCTCATTAGAGAAAGAATAACCCCACATTTTTCTTTCTCTACAGTCTTACCCAGATAGCGAACTTTACCTGTTGCTATTTTTACTCGATTTTTTTTAATTTATTAATTTTCTTCTGTTAATTCCTATTATTTTTGTTTATTGATTTCTACCTTCCACTTTTTGTTTTACTCTGAACCATTCTCTTACTCGAAATGTCCCTCCCATTCAGAACTCAGATTAAAAACCTATATCCGGAAATTATAGAAATTTTGGAAGCCAATAAAACTTTTCCCGTCCCACTTCGAAACCAGGGACAATCGGATCATATATACTTTTCCCAGATCCGTGCCTACATCCGCGAATTAGATTTTACGCTTTCCGAGGCCTCCGATAACCTCACAGCCCTTTCGACTACT